GACATATTGCGATGCAACACGATACGATTCACACCCATATCACGATACGATGCGATAATTCAGCACTAACTAATTAGATCAAGTTTATGAGATGATGTGAAAGAGGATGCTGTGCCATTGAATGAGTTTGATTATTTATTAACCAAGCAAAACCAAGACTTTTTTTACAAACTGGCTCTTCTCTCAGAGCCAGAGTGTCAGTTTACAGTAGAGGGCCATTTTAGAACATATAGCACATATTATTTAAGTATTTTCAAGATAAACAGAATGTATAAGTGCAATATGTATTAAAAAATATGTATATATTTGCACTCTTTCAACATAAATAAATTTAGCATTGCACAACAAGAATTGTGATTTAACTTTAACTATGAAAACAAGTTTTACAAAGATATATTTTGCCACTGATTATTCAAAACTTAAGGTTGTGAACTAGCAGTGTTATGCTGCTTTGAAACATCACTGTCACTGTAAACAACAGGCAAATAAAAATATAGCAAACCAGCAATCTTCTTGCTGTGAGGTGGTCAAACTACCCACTGTGCCACCGTGACACCCAATTATTTTTATCATTATTATTATTAATATTATTATTATTATTATAATTAAATAAAAATTAACAGGAGGAGGTGTTTAAAACCTTCGTTCTCAGTGACACTAGGCTGAATATCTTTGCAGATGAACAATGCAATAGCATTCGTTATTGGCGTAGAGCGAGCAGAACTGTTGCGCATGGAAAAAAAAACTTGCAATGCTTTTCTCACCACTTTTGGAACTGGTTGAAGCAGTGCGAAAGCCGGGGATGCAGATACACTGGAAGATGCTTTCACAACAACACCGTGGCGCCGCTTCAAGTGAGATATCAGATTAGTCGTACTGCCCGCGTATTTTACAGATGCGCGGCACATTTTGCAAATTGCATCTGTCCTGTCATGTCGTCCATCCTTAAATCCATAATGTTGCTTGCCATACTTTAGATTTAAAACTCAGTGGGGAATATGTTTGTTTTGCTTCTCGCGCTTTCTGAGGGCGCTCCACTAGCTTCATCCGCACACCTGATACACTGAGTTGTAGTGTGTGCACATCCGCAAATCCGTTGCTAAGGCTTACTTTATGTAGGTCGATTAAATTATGCGCCAAAAACAGGTTGACAACACTTGTTAATAAATAAAAAATACATTCTATATTAAAAATATAAGCTGTATCTCGGAAAAATCGATGCATCTCGCAAAAACCGATGCATCTCGATTTGCTTCCAAAATTTCATTCATCCTCTGCTGCTCAACCGATGCACTCGCATCGTGCACGCGCATGACCGCGTATCGATACATATCGGTTAATCTTCCCATCCCTAGTGTCTATATATGTTTGGCGTACTGCTCATAGACATTATAATAGAAAGCATGGTCTGATTTTGCTTCGTTGTTTCGACACGTCAACGCAGTTATCCGTTATAATGTCTATAGTAACTTACTGCCAGTCTCTGTTCAGGATTCGTTTATGTATGTGAATGTGTGAAGTATCAGAAGAAAGGTATCAAAACTCCACTGATTTCCTGAAATAAACTTTGCATTTTAGGATAAGCCAGCGCAGCTCTTTGATAATGAGGAGAACTCTTCTTCCTCTCTATGCAGTATTGGGTGAGCACAATATGCAGCTTATTCCTCTTTCGTTTCTACTTTGGAGAAGAGAAAAGAACAAAGTATAACTGCTTAAAAGGAGTCCGAAACGTTTTTTTTGTGTAATTGATTGATATACGCAATACAAATTGTTCATATAGGAATATGAAAAAAAAAAACACACTAAAATTTCGGACTTCAGTGTGCAAAGACTTTTAGAGTTGCATAAAAATTCATATTTATAGCATAAAAAAATACAAATAAATAAAAAAAACGTTTGGGGCCAGATGGTGTAGTAGCAACATCTACCAGTACAGTCTCGATGGGCAATTCTAACCAGCTTTAGCTTTAACCTTTTGATTGGAACCCATTCAACTATGTTTATTCACTTCCTGTGGGCGTTCCTGGAGTCCGCCGCTGATGCCAACATCTTTCTGCGGGCCTGCCAGGGCGTCCTCCAGACATTCTGATTTTGTGCCCCCCGGGGCTAATTATAAAACCCAGCTTTTGCTAGGCCACCTGCTTCACTGTGAAATGAAGCGCTTGTGGTGTGAACGGAGTCGCTGGCTGGTGAAAAGTGTTAATGATTACTCACAGAAGTAATCATTTTCTAATCACCAGGGGATGTAATGAGACGGCTCTGGTCCCTCCCCAGGCAGTCTAATTTAAATGGCACAAGTGAGAGATGTTCAGCTGACTGTTATGACGCTTTCAGCACAATTGTAATTCCTCAGCATTGGTTGTAAGAAGCCTTTGCTGTATGCGAACACAAACATATCCTCAGATACTTGCTGACTTCTGAGAAAGGCTGTTCGTGCAAATGTTGTTAGCGTGTAATGACCTATTAGCCGTGGTCTTCATAAGTGCTGACAGGCAAGATATTACGATAGCAGAAACTATGGTGAGTTTAAGATGCCTATAGAAGCAAAGTTATTATAACAAAGCTTAATGCATTTCATACCGTCAATAAGCATTAATTTTTTACAGTTCAATTAGTGCTTTATATTTATACACTCATGCTTGTGTTTGAAAAGGTAAAGCATGCCAGGGAGCATATAATGGAAATGATAGGGGATTTTTGTTGTTTCTTAGGAGATTGAAACAATTATAATTTATTAACAACTTAAAACAAGAGCAAATGTAAAAACAAATTGGCCAACAAGTGAAATTATTAAGTAGTTGTTTTTTGGAATGAATCATATTTTAAATATAAAGAAGCTACAATGCAATGACATTGTATGATAAGCTATAGCTTTAAAAATTGAAATTATTCAATGTAACATTTACAGTGTAAAACAATAAGTACTAGAGCTGGGCGATATTACAAAAAAACCCCCAAAAAAATCACGTTATTATGTTTCAAATCATTCGATATCGATAATTAGTAAATATTATTAAAACAAGACATTTAGAAATATTAGGATTTTTTTTTATTTAACCACTTTGTTAATTTACCAACATTACTAAGGCAAATAGTTCTAATAGTCAAGAACAAAAATATTTATACAAAATATCTCATCTCTTTATAATAAAATAAACATAAAAGTGTTAAAGATACTTTTAAAATGAATCAATAAATTTGTCAAAATTTGTGTGCAATGGTAAAGCATAAAAAATTAAAGGTGTGAATAATGATACAGTAATCTCTGTAAACAAAACAAATTATGACAAATCTGAGCTTTTGAGTAAATGAACCAGCCATCATAATTCAAGTACATACTGCAACATTGCAAATTGTAAAGTTGGATGACTACATTACGCCCTATGCTAAAAAAATCTGATGGGGTGCTAGTGGCTGGGTCTGGGATGCACAAGAAAAGAAACCAAAAAGCCACTCTGGCAACATCCTTACATCCTTTTTATTTACGATCTCCTCGCTGCTGCTGCTGCTACACGCCACTCATTTTTGCATGTGTTGTTATTCTGACCTTAATTGACATGCGCAAACAAATGGTTTCTTTGACCATTTATGATTGTCTTTGCGCTCACGCTCCTCTGGTGTCTCTCGTAACTAGGTCACCATTAAGCGTTTTCTCAGAGTGTTTGGATGCGCTGTGTTTATCTAAGGTAATTAGTCTGCCGTTATTTCTGAAATGTGTGTATTCCATATAAAGTGTGAAGCAGATTGGTCAGTTCTACTTACATAAATCGTGGTGCGCTTGCGGAATTCGGAAAAGTTGAGATGTTTTCAACTAGGTGTGGTTGGAAAATGTGTGCACATCATATGTGCAACGCGAGCTTCGCTCCCATACGCGCGTCGTGCAAGTTGCCTGCCTTCAAATCTCCATACACCATAAGCTTATTGGCATTGATTCCAAGGCGCACGCTCAGCAGCCACGTTTTAATAAAACTATAGCCTTTATACGTTTTTTTTTTCTTTCTAATATTGACAATGGTGTTCGGTCAATAATTATCGATGCCAATTTTAATTGCCAGCCCTAATATGTACAAAACAGTAAGGTTCTTGAAGTAAGCAACTTTTCCATTTCACACATAAGAAACAGTTCCTCTAATGAAGCACATAAATAGTTCTTAATTAATGCACTAGCAGCAAAATAAAACAAATGAGTCTGGCTATGGGGACTTCAGTGCATAAGTAGGTATTGTAAATTCTGCAAAGTGCATTTCCAGATTCTCTTCATTTATTTAGCCAGTATTGTCCTATGGCCCTTTATATATATATATATATATATATATATATATATATATAAAGGGCCATAGCATAGCAGCATAGCAGCAGCAGTAAGCACCCTCTGCCCAAATCTCTCCACAGCAAGTCCCTTATTGCAGTCTGTAATTACAGAGATTAAGCCACTTTGTGCCCTCACTCTACCTAATAGCCAATTGACAGAAGGGCTTTGTAATGTAGATCACTAATCAATATTCCAATGTCTTAGTGCTGACACATCACTCTGGTCCTAAGTGAGAAGTCATGAAACGCTAAATCCTCAACTTCAAGCCTCTTGAAAATGCTGCCCTTCAATCTCAGCCGCTGCTTTATTATATTGCTTGACATCCAGATAGTTTAACATGCGCATCCTCACTTTGCTCAACCACTCTCAAAACCCTCAATAAGATGGGTGCACTCAGCTGCTTTCAAAGGCGGCTGCCAAGCCGAGTTTAGCTTTTTGGCATGCGGTTATCTTGACAGAAATCACTGTTTATGTGTCAATGTCCACAGCCTGCTGATTTCAGTTGCTCCTCTGCTTAGAATTATGACTGAAGCAGTTTTCAAAGGAAGCTCCTACAATGCAAAATGATTCAGCTGTGTGTGTGTGTGTAAATCAGATAATGAAACAGAATCTTAAACCTTCAAAAAGAATAAAAATTAGTATACACACTACAGCACATTTAAAGTAGGATAAATGCCAAAAACCTTACCCAGATCAGCTCCGTAAACTTAAAACGGAGGCGACTAGGCAGGAAGATGTTTCCAGGTGCTGACAAATGCAGTTGGAATCAGTGAATAAGGCACGGTAGTGATACTGTTCCAGCTATCTGATGTTGGATCATAACAGTCCAGGGTTTTACACCTTTGCGTACCAAAGTACCCTCCGACCACATAGAGTTTATTGCCAGAGGCCACTGCATGGCAGCTCATTCTTTTTGAAGTCATGTCACCTACACGGGTCCATAGATTGGTCTCACAATCAAATCGGTAGGCGGACGCTGCAGTGAACTCCGTGTCGCCTCCCATTATGAATATCTGACTGCCAAGGACGGCAGCAGCAGTGTATCTCCAGGGTTGTGGGCACTCAGCAGCTATAGTCCAACGGTTCTCAACAGGGTCATAACACTGGACCTTTGAGGCCTTGTCCCTGTGGATGGTTGTTCCACCAAACACAAAGAGTTTTAGCTTGGCGCTGACAACTGCTGCATTACTGACACCATCCCTAAGTGGTGCCATCATTGTCCATTTATTGGTTAGGGGGTCATACCGCTCAACCTGTTTAAGAGATACTGATGGAGAGGCTGGGAAGACACCTGCAATAGCAGTGTGCCCCCCAACCACATAAAGGCAGTTTTCAAGTTCAGCTGAGCCATGTCCAAAGCGTGCAATTAGCATCGGGGCACCTTTTGACCATTCTTCATGTACTGTGTCATATATCCAGACATCCTTTGACACTCCATTTTCTGAGCCCCTTCCTCCTGTCACATAAACTTTGCAGCCAATGGCACATGCGCTGAACTCCTTCCTGGGACTGGGCAGATCTGATTTGGGTATGATCTCTTTTGCTTTATGGTCCACTTGGTAGATCTTGTCACACATAAAAGTCTGACCCCCAAGAATTAGCAACGTGTGGCCAGCTTTGCGAGGCCTGGCGCAGGGGCTGGTGACAACGCCGTCATTCTGCAGAATCTTTTTCTTGCACTGCATGGCCTCATCGACAATCTGTCGGCTCCTTTTATCTGACATCACAAGTTCCTCACATGCCACGGCCTCGATGAGACATTCTGAGGGTAACAGCGCAAGGCGTAGACCTCGAAGAAGTTCTGGAAGGTAGTCTCTGCGGCTATCTAGGTCATACCTAACCCAGTGCATGACCGCATTGAACACAATCTGTTCATCTTCAACCTCCAACTCATCGCTAAGGATGAGATCCAAAAGCTTGTCTTTTGAGAGGCCGCAGAAGTCCTCAGTGTCTCGTAAAGTCTCAAAGTGAATGAGGCACATCCTCCATGACAGCTCATAAAGGCGTTTGCATTGATGGGCATCAGAGAGCAGCATCATTCCCAGGCAGTTTGATGCATGCAAATTTTTCTCCAAAAATTCTGCGGCTGCATCTCGAATGTCATGAAACTGTAGCATATCTCCAGCCTCAAGTAGTGACTCTGCATTTTCCTCATTAATAATGACACGTGAGGAGTAAGCAAAGTCCAACAGGAGCTCCAGAACTTCTGGGTGAACACTGTCACGAAAGTTAACCTCGTTGTCAAGGCTTTCACGGAGGCCACCACTGAACATAGCTTCAAAGTAGCGACTACAGGCAGCAAGCACAGCTCTGTGACAGGGAAATGAGCGGTCGCCAGCCCACAGCGTTACATCTGTGAACATGCACTGTTTACGAAGGGTATTCAGGTGGGTGAGCACACTGTCTGGATGAGAGGGCTTGTGGAAGAGCGAGATGTTCATGGAGCCTGTGCTCGTCCTCGACTTGCGGTTTTCATGGACGCTGACTGACATCTTTTCCAGCACGTCCAAATTTTCACTTGTTCCAATATCGCGAACTAGGAAAACACAAAAGGACAACAACAAAAGGTTAGCAAGTGCTTTATAAAAGTATTTCAGTATTGGGGATGACTCACTGCTGTACATGTTTACACTTGGCAGTAAAATCAGCACTGAGAAAGTAGTTATGTACAGTGCTGTTACAACGAAATCAAGAGCCAACTAGTGCAACTTTTTTCAGCTACAGAGAATGAAAGTATTGGTCTTGCATTCTTGAATAATTGCTTTTAGCTTAAATGCGCTCAGTGTTTGTCTTTCCTTGGCTGAGTAATTCTTTTTTAGGCTTATTTTCATGTTTAATAGCTAGAGATTGAAAATGTCTTAACTTACTGATATTTGTACAAACTTCATTGAGAAGACAAACTTTGCTTGACATATACTGCTTGAACAGTTTTATATTACTTGAACAGTTAATTCCCTCTACTTTGTTCTGAAGACTAATCTTCTTTGCTCTGTTAATCCAACAAAAAGTGCAAAATGAATCATCTCAGTCTCTAATTCTTATATTTTATGATGGCAGATTGTAAGAAATCTAGTGAGATCAAAATCGCGAAGACCTAAAGAAATAAACATGAGAGCATCTTATTTTAGCTAATCAAATGTAGATTTACTTGAAAGTGTTTTTGTTTAATATATTTGCAAGAACTAAAAAGAGAACATCTATAACAATCTGTAAATCTACACTCAGATATAACTCAGCTAGTGCAAAATTCAAGAACAAAATAGCTTTGTGAATTAAGGTTGTCGCGATACTAGAATTCGATACAAATCGGTACTGAAATGTTGAAAAAGTCGATTTCCTGCAAACATTTAAGCACTGTGGAGCACATTCTTAATCAGCATAGACAATCACAGTCATTTCTGTTGAGCACATGAAAAAAATCTATTCAAATCAGCGGTGTTTAATGTTGTGTTCAGCTATTCGTGCGTAAATAGACACGTGAACATTTTGAGTATACTCGCTTCATTCGCGCATCAAATACGCTTCATTCGGACGTCAAATTCCTTTCATGATAGATGCGGATTCGCGTCATAGGCAGGGCTTCTGTCTGCCTGGTGACTCTCTAGCTTCGTTGCTTAATGGCTAACATGGATTTTATTGAGAGAATACTGTAGCTGTGTTTATGTGCTTTAGGAAGACTGAAAAACAGCGTTGATTTTCTGACTTAACCCCGGGACACCAACAACAGGTGCTACATCATAATCATGCCCTCACAAGAAAAAGCTCCTGATTGGTTACTGCGGCACGAATGTCCGCTGAAGTTCAGATTTTCCAACGAGTGATTTGAACGTCAATCGCACAAAACGACTGCTTCATTCGCGCGAATTGTGTCATTCACGCAGCCTCATTTGCGCGCATCGTGCCAGAGGATGTCTATTTGCATCTTTGCATTGGCGCTTGATGCTTCTTTTGCGTCTGGTGTGAACGCAGCTTAAGAATGTACTCCACAGCGCCCAAATATTTGCAGGAAATTGACAATTTTAACATTTCAGTACCGATTGGTATTGAATTTCAGTATTGTGGCAACCTTATTGTGAATAAACGCAACTGCACTTAAACCGAACACTGAAACTAATCACTGACATGTTCATTGGACACACGACTGCAGTGAAAAACATTGAGTGCTTCCAGTGTAGACTGTGTGACACTGAGTGCAATGCAGCAAAACTTGAAATCTCTCATTATAATCGACAGTACAGTGTAAATTTAGACAGGTTTGTTGATTTAATGCCATCAATGTTCGAAAAACACTTTATGCAGCACATGATTTAGTGAGACAGTTTTGCCCTTTCTGTGTGACATTTAAAAACTGAGGGTTTCATCAGCAAGGGTTTAACGTTTCCAGTGGCTCTTTGTGTGAATGAATGTGCTTGCATGCAGACTGGATACTTAAACTGATGCGGTTTGAGGTTATTGTGACGAGAAAGGAGTGCAAGCATGCACAAACATCGGCAGGGTCTTTATGGATCACACTCTCGGGTTGACATGAATCACAATGCAGAGGTTGACCACAAAGGATGCAAGGTCACAGCTATCCGTGCAGAAAGCTATGCGGGGGGATAAGGGCAACTGGGAGGCTGGTACTGGAGGGATTGGATGCAGGGCTTGTTGATGGGTGAACAAGGGAAAAGGGAGCAAGCAGGTGTCTAAAACCACTTACAGCGACAAAAACTGCTGACCCACGCACAGGCACTGACAGTGAGGATCTGAGGGGGGGTCTGCATTGGTCCCAAAAAGCGTCCCTTCAACAGGCTGACAAAGTTGTCCTTTATGGGGCCAGGGAATAGAGAACGGAACAAAAATATTTAATTTTATCCACATTAATATATGGAGTGACCCTGTGAGGGTCTCCATTCATTTATTGCAATCTATGGTTATCGTGACAGTTGCTTGAATGTTGCATAACTCCATGACAGTGGACTTATAGTCAGGTTTGTGGCTGAATGAAAAGGGGAAAGCTGAAAAAGAAGCTCGACTATTAATTCACAGCATGATGAAACTGCCTTGAAGTTCCTGTGTGGTTCATCCTATCACCCGTAGTAACCATCACTCAACAACAGCATGAGTCGTGCCAAAGTTGCTGAATCACTCAATGTGAACAAACTAACTACCTATCCATGCGGATATTCTCACCAGCATGAATGACACCTTTTAATTGCAACGCTACTGAGTGGCTGAGGCACAAAGGTCTTTATTTCTTTGAATGTACTTCCTGTGTAAACATTCAAGCTTCTCTGACTAAATAGCCTTTCCAGGTTCTTTTCACTAGTGATGTTGGTATTCCAGAGCTGTATTTCAGTTAAGCTACAGAAAAGTGAGGGAGGGGAATGCTTTTTGTGTGTTTGCGTAAAGTCAAATGCTGGCAACCTCACTGATCTGAAAACGCTCAATGAATCACTGGCCTGCATGAATCCCATCATCGGGGCTAAGGATTTCTATCAGCACTCAGCCTAAACCATTTTACGCAAATACGCGGGTAGACGCAAACTCAATTTTGTGCATCGATGCTTTCGACAATATCATAATATGCAACACATTCTTGTCATGTTGACACAAGGGGTGCTACAGTGAGTGTTTTCAGCCTGTGGAAGAGCATTTACTTTCTGAAAAGTAAAAACATCTTGTCATTGAGTTAGTGCTCTTAAATGGACAATCTTGTACTTTATCTACCTCTTAAAGCTTAACGTAAGCATCTTAACACCATCAATGCCACGGTCAATGCTACCATTAACTATTTTTAAGAGTAATTAATATATAATAACACACTTTTGTGGATACAAGTGGGGCTGGGGGATATGGCAAAAATGTCTCGATAATTATTTCCATTTTGAATGATAACTATATATTTCGATATAAGTTGTTAATGCTTCCATATTTAAAAGAGTACCCCAACAATGACTGAAGCCACAAAAATTTGAGGGTCCATCAAGTGGCATAACACATTTTAGGCCAATAAATTTCAGTTCTAAATGTTCTAATTTTATGTCTCTAATGCTTACAGATTTAAAAGAGTACCCCAACAATCACTGAAGCCACAAAAAATAGAGGGTCCATCAAATGGCATTACATATTTTAGGCCGTTAAAATTTTCAGCGCCAAAAATTCTGTACATCTCTAATATCAACACACTTTTAGATTCTTATTGTTGCACATTGCTGCTGTGTGATTGGCTTGTAGATCAATATTGAGTAAAAAAATGTCCAGAGCTATTATTATTAACACATATTTTATCCTGATTCAATATAATATTGTTTATTGGCTCAGCCCTAGATACAAGCCAAATGACAAAAACATATTGTTCCTAAACTTCACTAAATTTAAATATTTGTACTTGTGTGATAGCACTTAAAAGTTGGCTGCTATTGTTACAGAAGGTTTTAAGTGTGGCCATATTAGTTATGTCGACATTGTAAATGGAAAAACAGTGAACATATGAAAATTTGTCATATGCTCAGTTCCTTATTTCTTATGCTTGCAAGAAGTGCTTCTTCTCAACAACTCAAGGAGAACCATAACTAAACATTTTGTTCATACTGTATTTGTAATTTAACAACCCACTTTTAGGACATGAAGCCTTTAAAATGACCTAATGAATCTGGTGTTGGATTAAAGATGCATCTGAAAACTAGAACTGAAAACTGAGGCGAATAATTTAAGTATAAAGGTAATGTTAGGACCATTCACACTTTGCAAGAGTAAGCAGCCAATTTGAAGTTAGACAGGCACTTGTTTACTTGAACTATGACCAATGTAAAAATAACTGGACTGAACTTCAAATTCCGTCGTTGTATAAGAAATCTGAGGCCATGGATGATTCAATAAGACTAATTTTCCTGTCTTTTGTATCACAAAAAAAAGAAATAAATAAAATAAAATTATATATATATATATATATATATATTCCCAATTAGTAAAAAACTACAGTGGGAGCAGGTGCTCTGAGGCGCGGGCTTGAAAAAACTAAACAAACAAAACACAATTTCCTTCAGTCATTTCCAATAGTTCCCCTCTCGCCTCCTTTAGACTTTATAAACTGAAGAAATATATTAGTGATACAAATACATAACGCGACAAATAAGACAATTTCTGCGACTTTTTTGCGCTGCAAGACTTTAGAAATGCGCGAACTCGAGCTACAGTTAGCCATCTCGCTAGTGCGCTAAACAATGGAAAAGACACCTGAAAAGCTAAATAACTCATACTGAGGTAAAATCTAATCAAGCCAAAATGTAAACCCAGTAATATCAGAAATGACAGATTTGTCTAAGCTTAGTCTTACGGCGACCGCTGTGAATAAGAGGAGCTAATGCTGTTAGCGGAGAGTCGCAACTCAGTGTATTGACATGCAGAAGAAAGCCTGACAAACTCCTGACGATTAGAGAGACGTAAAGACGCTGCTCTCCCTGTAAGCGATCATTATCTTCCGATTTACACCCGTTTCTCCTTCTGGAAGAAGCGAGATGTGGTCACCAATCCCTATCCAGCTCACACCTAATCCTGACTGAGTGTATTGGCTTTTCCAGCTCTGCCAAAAACAGGAAGAACAGTGCAGATGTTGATTATTAGAGGGTTATTCATCTCAAGCTTTTTGTTCTAATATAACAAAAAACTTGGTATACTTACAGTGTGCTGGACGCTAGTAAGAAATCCTGACGTTGTGCGGTTTTAAATTTTGAAAAGGAATCATAGTTTTGTTCGCCTCTTGTCTGGTCGGCTGGGTTACTTTGTCCACATTCCAGTCCTCACTGATGAAAAACTGTAGAGTCTCCTAAGGTAATATCCAAACGCAGGGAATGGGTTGTAGCGAGTGATTGACGCGCCGTCGACCAATCACGAGCTGAGAACTTATGCAAATATAAATTGTAGCCAATGGGAGCGCTCCAACCTAAAGTTCTGCGCTGTTTTCTATACGAAGCAGCCAATGGATGAAAAGTGGGCGGAGCGTCACGATGGGCGATGACAGGCCATCACAACAATTAGAAGAGAAGTATGTTTACATATGCTTCTTCAAATTGCAACAATGACAAAACATTCATCGGGCATGGTGGCATTTCTACGTATAAATGATTATATAGGACTATTTTAACAGGAAATCAAAACAAGACTTACTTAAATTTCCTTTATAGAATTGTTAGTTTTTTTCCCGTTTTGCCACATCATCAGCATCCTCCAGCATGTAGTTCTATTAGTTTATATATATATGTTTGTTTATAAGTAGACTACAAGCCTTGTAAAGAGATTTCTATACACAATGCATATAGCTCCATCTAGTGGATGTAGTGTATTGTAGTGTATTCATAGCTGTGATAAACCATATCATAAATTCAACATTGTTTACCTCGAGTATAATAAGTGATTTATATATTAACAACACTGCATTTGGTATTAATCAGTATAAATGTCATTATAAATTCATATTTTATCACTTATAAAATGATCCTTAAGGGTAAAGTTATATTAATATTAAAAATATTTCCAATACCTGTTAATGGCTGGTCAGCCATGACAATTTACTCATTTATTTTCTTTTCAGCTTAGTCCTTTTGTTATTCAGGGGTCGCCACAGTGGAATGAACAGCCAACTTGTCTAACATATGTTTCACGCAGTGGATGCCCTTCCAGCGAGAGGGTGCTCGCTGCAGAGCCATTTGAGGAGAGCTGAGCTCCAGCGAGGGGGAGCTTAAGCTTGAGCTCCACCTTTTTTGCACTTCTTCTATGAGTGATGTCACTGGGGGTAGGGTTAGGGGTGGGGTTGGTGTACGCATTAAAACAGCTTACAGAAGGAGGAGCGACAGCTCATGCTCCCCCTCGCTGGAGCTCAGCTCTCCTCAAATGGCTCTGCAGCGAGCACCACTTGCTTCCAGCTGCAACCCATCACTGGGAAACACCCATACACTCTCATTCACACGGACACTGTTTAGTTTACTCAATTCACCTATAGTGCATGTCTTTTGGACTTGTGGGGGAAACCAGAGAAACTCCAAAGGAAATTAATGCGAACACTAGTAGAACATGCAAACTCCACACAGAAATGCCAACTGACCCAGCCAAGGCTCGAACTAGCGACCTTCTTGCTGTGAGGTGACCGCGGTACCCACTGGGCCACCATGCTGATCAAAAAAATCTACTGAACTATTAAATGGATCATTAATTAATTCATTAATTTATTCATTCATTCATTCAAGGTAAATAAAATAAATGTGGATTTGTAAATATCGAACTGTGTCAGGTGTCGCCACAGCAGAATGAACGGCCAACTTATCCAGATTATGTTTTACACAGCGGATGCCCTTCCACCTGCAACCCAGTACTAGGAAAGATCCATACACACTCATTCATACACTACGGCCAATTTAGTTTTTCCAATTCATCTATATCACACGTAGGGAAACCAGAGCACCTGGAGGAAACCAGGAAAACATGCAAAGTCCACACAAAAACACCAATTGAACTGACAAAATTAAATGTTGCAACTGACCCCTTGCAGAGGGACGGTTGCAACAACCCACAGAAACAATTGCAACAGTCATTAAAATGTAATCATAAAACGAAATCTAAAACACCAGGTTGGATGTTCTTTTTATTGTTTTGGTAAACAGACTAAATTTAAATTGGTTAAATTGTTAGATGTGTTAAACTGGCAATATAAATACAGGGTCACACTTTACAATGTTCATTAGTTAATGTTAATTAATGCATTTACTAAGATGAACAAACAATGAACAATACATTTACTACTGTTTTGTTCATGTTAGTTAACGTTAGTTAATGAAAATACAGTTGTTCATTATTAGTTCATGTTAACTCAGTGCATTAACTAATGTTAACAAGCATGGACTTGAATGTTAACAATGCATTTGTAAGTGTTCAATTATGATTAATAAATGCAGTACATGTGTTGTTTATGATTAGTTCATGTTAGTAAATGCATTAACTAATGAACCTTATTGTAAAGTGTTACCAAATACAGACTATTAAATGAACAAGCAACCAATTATCAGGCCAAAAAAAAAATGAAACAAAAAAAATGTTGTACTGAAAATTCAGACTGAACCTTTACTAAACTACTTTGAACTTTGAAATCTAATAATTAATCAAATAATTTTTTTTTTCAAATTAAATCACACTGAAACTGTGATGCAATTAAAATTGTACATTGTTAATATTGCAAGCTTTTAAAGTAATTGGGGACTCAACTCTGTCAACCCTGATTAAACTGTCTATGCTAGGGAGATTCAATAGCTTTAAGGTTTGATAGCTACAGTATACCTATTTAAAGCTAAGAAAACATTGATTTAAATTCTATAAATGAATAATGTTTCAGAAAAACAGATTAGACAGTATGAGAAATTTTCATTAAAATAAAATACTTTTTGACCTAAAAATGAGTTTTATACTTAGAGAATGGTCACATGGCTGATTTCTCTCAAACTGAAGGAGGTCCAACTGAGAATATGTATGAATATCATCACTCTAGCTCATTCCTGAATGGAGGAGTAAGTCTTGTTGCAACTGACCCATGTTGCAAGCGTCCCCACTCTCCCATACTCACCATTGTTTTGTATGCATTTACTGCTTCGTGAGTGTTTCATTTATTTACGGAAACCCCATTTCGATTAAAAGCATTTTTTTTATTCTCTCAAAATGTGCCCCCTGTGACCCGATGATCTTTCCATCATGACAACTCTGGTGGCCTATCATGCTTTGTTGTTGTTTTAGGTTCACCACTTGTGCCTGTGTATTTGAAAGTCTGCTCCCTGTGCTGCTGAACTGTGTAATATGATCAAGTTCACTTCGATTCGAGTCTGAATGCATTTTCAGGGCCAGTGCATTGAGACCACAGCCTTGTCTCTTGCTTGGCTAAATAGAGACGGTAGAATTTCATTGGAGGCCATAATTAACTGTGTTTCGTCTGCAAGTTCACCAAGGGAGTTTCTTCCATTAGTTGTCTAAACCTAATCTGAGACCAAAGGCTCTTTAAGTGTAAGAAATGTGCTGATCTTTACTGCGCTAATACACGCAAGCCAGGCCTGGTTTTCGACCGCATGTGCTGCGGTCATTAGAAGTCAGATCATGAAATTGTAGCACTATATTAAAACCACAGACTTACTGCAGTGCTTACAGCAGCTTTTGCTGAGGTAAAAAAAGGTTTAGCACTTAAAAGGCATGCTATATGGGACATATCAAATTTTACATCTCGAAGAAGTGCCATATTAAAGCAGACTGGGACAACCAGGTGTCAAAAGATTAGATAGATTAAATAATGTAGTGTGATACTTATATTGACAGTTAGTATCTGACATCGCTCTATCTATCAATCTATCTATCTATCTATCTATCTATCTATCTATCTATCTATCTATCTATCTATCTATCTATCTATCTATCTATCTATCTATCTGTCTGTCTGTCTGTCTGTCTGTCTGTCTGTCTGTCTGTCTGTCTGTCTGTCTGTCTGTCTGTCTGTCTGTCTGTCTGTCTGTCCGTCCGTTGTTTTTCTTGTTCTATCATTCTGTCTTTCATGCATCCATCCATCCATCCATCCATCCATCCATCCATCCATCCATCCATCCATCCATCCATAAATCCATCATCTCCATTCGTTCATTCGTCCATCCATCTATTTGTCTGTCTGTCTATCATTTTATCATTCTGTCTTTTGTTCTATCTAATTATTGTTTTATCATTCTATCAATTCAATTAATTATTTGTCAGTTAACTCTTTCTCTTTTGCTCTTTGTGAAGTTTATTTATAAACTAATTTCAAGAGGAGCACGCGCTTATGATTGATAGCACCTGGTCCACATTAGCTAACACTGATTCACCAATCAGACGACTCCTTAACCCCTATAAATAACCAGAATATCTTACCTCAACCATCTTCGTCTTTAAGAATCCCCCTTCCTCCCCTACTCCTCCCCCCATTTCCTTGTCAGGGCAGCACGGAGGCTTAGTGGTTAGCACCACGGTCGCACAGCTAGAATGCCACCGGCTCGGACTCTACCTGGCCAGGTCGGCGTTTCTGTGCAGAGTTTGCATGTTCTTCTCGTGTTTGCGGGGGTTTTCACCGGGCTCTCCGGTTGCCCTGCAACGGGGGGAGCCCCGGGCTCGAAGACCTCACGAGTTTAGGACTCTCTCCCGGGACAGCATGCCAAACAAGCTCTATAATCAATCATCAGCTAAGGGCGAACTCTGGAAATATCTCTTTTGTACTGAATCTATCGTTCTGTCACCTCATTATTTGTTCTGTCTCTCATTCTTTCTATCTATGATTCTATTTTCTCTGTCATTCTTCAGCTCATTATATCATTCTATATAACATATTCTATCATCCCATTCTATCATTCTATACCATTCTTCTATTTTCTTTGTCATTCTGTTCTGTTTGTCAATATTTTTGCTATAATTCTTTTGCATTTTTGAACAGAATCTGTCATTCTGTCTACGTTTTCTCTGTTTATCATTCTTTCTATGATTCAATTCATTTTGTTTATTGTTTTGCATATCTCTATCTATCTATCTTTCTTTCTATCTATCTATCTATCTATCTATCTATCTATCTATCTATCTATCTATCTATCTATCTATCTATCTATCTATCTATCTATCTATCTATCTATCTATCTATCTATCTATCTATCTATAAACAGAAAAACCATATGAAAGCATTCAGACCTCCTAATTAATCTCAATTTTCGTAAAGTGTCTTTTGAAAGATGGCTCATCATCATGAGCATCACATTTCATAAGGATTCCGCTTGACGGACGACACTCTTGATGGA